CTCTCTCTGTGTGTGTGTGTGTGTGTGTGTGTGTGTGTGTGTGTGTGTGTGTGTGTGTGAACCTTTGTGACGATCTAAAGCTGAGATGAACTGCATCTATTCTGTCGTCTCTGCTGGTTGCTTTGGTGGGGAAAACAGGGAGAGTGAGGATGGGTGTGGAACATTTGAGGGCAAGCGGAAAGGCTTGCATAAGCATGGATTTACGTAGGGGGGTCATACTCACACTGGGACCATCGACGTGATTTGACCGGAATACCAGTTAGGTACCTCTAGGGAAGTCTTAATATGAGTCCGCCCTTAGGGAGTCTACTAATAGGGTTCACTTCCGTGTTGCAGTCCTGGGGAATGCCACGGAGGTATTTGAAGCCAGCTAGGATGAGTCGCGCATAGGGTTCACTTGGGATCCCCTCGTGAGACATGCCTCGTCTCACCTCTCTGAGCTAAGCTTGCTAAAGTTAAGTTCCTGTCTCTGTCTCGTAAGACAATCTCTCGTTGTCCCTGTCATGCTTCTCTGAAGATTGATGAAGGAGAGCAGAGCAGAGCTTTGAATGCTCAATCAATCAAGGTTGGTCTGTTGTTGGATCGGAGAAAGCAAGCCTGTGCATGCATTTGGTGGGTCATCCCTCTGTTTTGTGCCTGATTGAAACGAGATCCAATATGGCATCCACATGTTCCCATACACGTGCAATGATAAGTCACCTTTGGAGGGAGCAATCCACACCACACTGGAAATACACACCTTTGGAGGATGATAAGAGTACACAATGGAAACACACAAACACTGAAAATAGAATTGACATGAAATTTGATGAAAATAAATTCTAATTACCGTCTCTCCCCAAGGCAATCAACAGTACAAATTTCCATTGTGGTTGGGATCCCAACCACGTTATCAACACCCACGGACCAATTATTTACAAGAAGATTTCATCGAAGTATCTGGGAGTCTTCTTCTTCATCCTCCCTCTTCCTCAAGCTCTAGCTAATATGGTGCTTGAAAGCACCCAACCTATCAAGCCTGCCAATCGCCACACATCCTCCTAAATCTAACACCCCTCTCTGCACCACTCAAGAAGCGCACGGCAGATGAAGTGTCCACTCAGCAGGGGAGCGCAGCTCCCAGGATGATGAAGAAGAACAGCAACTCGATGAAGATGAAGATCTGCCACGTCGAAGAAGAACCGCAGAAAGCGACTCGTTGGATTCATCAGTGTAGCGCACGTGCGGCCCAGAACATCTAAGGGCATCACAGACCTGTTATTGCCTCAAACTTCCGTTGGCTAGTCGTCCAACAGTCCCGCTAAGAAGCTGGCCACGAGGAAAGGTCCCCGCGTAGCTATTTAGCAGGCTGAGGTCTCGTTCGTTTACGGAATTGACCAGACAAACCACTCCACCAACTAAGAACGGCCATGCACCACCACCCATAGAATCAAGAAAGAGCAGTCCAAAGGCATTCTCCCAAATGGATCGCGTTTTAGTGTGTGGTTGGCAGTGGGTGACTCGGACCTTCCTTTCCTTTTCAGGTCAGCCGGTATGGAATGTCACCAGTGTTGGAGGAGGGGGGGGGGGCGGGGGCTTGTTGATCATCTCTAATTTGTGGTTGAGCTGGTTGGGTCGGATTCCTTGAAACAGGGAAGGAACCTTGCTTACAAACAGTTGGCTGTTCATCTTTCTATTTGCGAAGCAGGGGCCCCTTTTTCCTGGGCATGGTTGGGATGGGTTTCAAAACCAAGATAAACCCTTTTCCTGGGCATGGTTGGGAGGGCTTTCGAAACCAAGATATATGTGTAGTTAAGAAGGGGGGTCAGGCCCTCAGAGAGCGCGTCCGTACTGCTAAGGCAGCATCGGCAAGGTTCGGAAACAACAATACAAAACTGGGCAGTGTCTGCCTCAAAACCCCACTGTTGCTACGTTTGTACAAAGATAGCATATGAGCTCGGCCATCTTAACAACCAAGTTCCTTCTAGCTCAGTACACATCTAGTAGTAGTAGTAGTAGTATTGGGGGTTTGTCGGAAAGGCTACTTTATTTTTATTTAAATTTAACGTTTGGGATGAGTTTCCGATGGAGGTTCCGGAGGAGAGCCTCCAAACCCTCCTTTTTTTTTTCTTTTTTTTTTTTTGACAATTTGCTCCGATCTATTCGTGGGGAGCAGCACGCGCTGGAAACAGGGTCCAGCGTCCCACTTGAATTATTACACAACATATGAGGTGCTGGGGCCATTACCCGGCTTCGGCAAAGAATCCTTTTTGATGAAGAGCTAGAAAATTGAATACTATGCTATATTAGCAATTCCAGCTTCCTAAACATAGAGCAACTCCTAGCCCTCCCTATACCAAAACATTACTACTCGAAAACAGTACTGACCAGACCAACATCATCCATAGCTGACCTCTTCTCGCCACCAAGACAATCCCCGACCCCATAGGGTGTCAAGGCAGCCCCCCGCAATTCGCCACTGGCTTACCTTCCTCCCTCGGCAAACCCCAGATCTCTCTACAAGGCCTCACACTCCTGTCGTTGCAGGTTACAGGGTAACACCCCAGCTCCGGCCAGCGTCGTTCTAGCATCGGCAAACTGAGGGCACAGAACAGAGCAACTCAGCCGATGTCAGTCCAGGTGCAACCATCTCTGAAATCGAATATCCTAATGAAGAAGAAGACCAGATGCTGCTCTAGCTCTCAGAACCCCGGAAGGCTTAATATATCATAATTTGTCCAAGAAGCTTCTAAGAGTCACCGCGCAGAGAAACTTTCCCCTGCCCACACACCTTGTTCCATGCTGCCACCGCCGAGGAAAACCACCTCGGCCCCAACCTGGAACAGACCCCCTCCTTCCCCTCCATCCGCAAAGGCAGCCAATTCCCTCCTAGAGGATACCTTCGCCCTCCCCTTGTCCCTATCTGCCCCCGCCGGGGTTGAAGGCGACCAACTCTCCCACCCCGGCCCCAGACAAGGACAAAACCACAAATCTGCCCCACCCCCGACAGGGCAGCCACCTCCCACCTTGCAGCGCCCCTGTAAAGTAAGGCTCCCCAATACCAACCGCCACCCTTCCCCCAAAAATCCGAACTGTGACCACAGAAGCCCTATCCCGACTGAAGCACACCCATCAGATGAAGCGACAAAATTAACCTAGAGAAGGATCTCATGAGGGCAGTGTATAGTTGAGTAAGATTTTGTGATGAAAATCCCAAGATGGAAACACTCAAGAGAGTGAACATGAGAAAAGAAAAATCATGATAGATGTACCGAAAAAGAAAATACTAATTGCTGACAAGAACAGTGCCCTAAGACAAAGGGTTATAAGGATAGTAATGGCGAGCAAACTCACCTGCAGATGGTATCGGTAATGACCCCTTAGTGAGGGATTGAATTACTGATGATTTTTTAAGGATGATAGTAATGATGACGATAACGACGTCAATGATAATGCCTCAGATGGTAGTAATGACAGTGATGTTATTGACGACTTGTGATTGGATGGGTGACCGAGAACAGCACCCTAAGACTGGAAATTTTAAGTATGATATTGGCGAGCGGACTCGCCTGCAGATAATATCAGTGACGTCACACTAATAAGGAGTGCAGTTAAGGGAGATATTTTATAGGGATGATGGTGATGAGGATGATAATGACGATGATGGTGATGCTACAGATAGAGGTAATGACGAGCAACACAGTAATGACGACGCTGGTAATGACAAGGCCCACATAGAGATGTAATGATGATTAAAATGACGAGCACTTACCAATCCTTGGATGCCAAGCACCCGAGCTATGCTTTGACCGACGGTAACCTAATGGCAATGAAAAACGACTGATCACATCATTCCGTCAAGTGATGATAACAGGTAATACTAACGTCATGATGATGCTAACAAACCTTGATGATGGTGATGACGAACACCAGCTTGATGACGAAGTGCGCCCCTGATAGCCTCGTTGTGATGGCGATAACAGTGTTGATTGTACTTGATAACACGTCCAAGCTGTGCCCCTGAAGATGAACAGCACCTTATTGACGAGCAGTGCTCCTGATAGGATAGTGATGGTGATGGCAAGGATGATGGCGAGCAGCACCCCAATGGCAGGCCGTTTCTGTAATCACTCACACTTCAGGGTACCTAGGGCTAACTCCACTGTACTCCACAGACATCGACAAAGCCAACGCCTCTCAGGCCAAAAGCCACGTGCAGCAACGCAGCGGCAATGGAGTAAAACGCGGAACTCCCAGCAACTGAATGCCACCTGGAGTCAGACCATCTGCCACATCAACTTGTGAGATGGTGTGGTCAAGCGCCTGCAGTCTCCTGCGCGTGCGCAAAGTGCCAGGACTTCAAAAAAAGGCCACCATCGCCGCCGCGCGCCATCTCCATGAGCACGTAGCGTCGGGCAGGGCACAGCGCTCCCGGTAGCGCTCCGCCCCGATCATGGCCCCCCCAAACCCTCCTTACAAGTTGAAATGATAATAATTACAAACTGGCCTGAATGGCGGACGAGTGTCACGTCAGAAGCTGTTCCTGCTTCCCTTTTCCCATTAGTGTTGCAAGTGCACCTGCCGCGGCGATGCCGTGGCCCCACAGCGAAGGGGCACCCGCCATGGCAATGCCAAGTCGAATGGATGGCCCCACAGGCTATATGAGAGCAGTGAGCGAGAAAGAGAATAATAATGGCACGCCGAAAGAGCACTGCACACCGATGAAGAGCAGAGCGCTTGAACGATGGCAGCAAATGATGCTGCATATCTTGAAAACAATTCGAATCGATTGTTTGGGATTGATTGATCAATCGATTGATGAACATGAAGTCAGAAGCAAAACGAGAAATCGCAAATGTTTTCTAAAACAATACGAAAGCTTTGTGTTGATTGTCCTCCCATCTCCGTCCTTGCCTTCTCTGCTCTCTGTTGTGTCCTCTCCTCTTGCACGACATTCTCCTGCTCACCTAAACTTCCCCCTTGTTGTCCTGGTATATATATACCACAGCGTTAACTTGACCTTGTAAATACCCGTCCATCTCTGTATTGTTCCCCCACCTTTATGTTGTTGTTACCTTATAGCAAACTTACCCCTTGTATTAGCATGATGCCTGTGCAAACATGACGCGCATAAGTAGATAAATTATTGACAATGAAAAAAGAGAAACAGAGAGAAAAATCGTCATGGTTGTTGAATCCATTGTGTTCCCTCCTCCCCCTTCACCTGTGCTCCCTCACCTCCTCCTAGTGCTACTCCTGCTCCTGCTCCTGTACTCCGAGTTCTGCTTCTTTTGCTCTTGCTCCTTCCACTCGCATTCTTCTTCCTCCTGTTTCTCCTCCCACTCCTGTTCTACTCCTTGTATCCCTGGGCTCCTCCTCACGCCATCATTGGGCCTTCCCCTCAATCGCCCCCTCCAAAAAAACAGAAATAGTCAAAAAATATAGGCTACCAGCCGGGCCGTCCGGGTTACCTTGTTTGCCCAGGCGGCCCCGGCCGTGCAAGCACCAAAGATGGTCCCGAAAAATGGAAAATTCCGAGGCTGGGCCAGCAACCGGGCTGCCCCGGTCCGGGGGGGTGAACCGGCAAAACCGGATGCCCCTAAAAAATGCCCAGATTTTTTATTTTATTTTTTTCCCGATTGCGGCATCCAACTGTGCTCGCTCAGATCTGTCAGGATTCCACATTAAAACTTGCAAAGTCAGGATGTTTGTTTTTGGTTGGGGGACGGAGGGGGGGGG